CACACCATTATCAAGGATAGAGAGAAGATAGTGGCAGCATACTCCAATGGAAAGTTTGCTCTGGATCGAATCGAAAGAAAATGAGACTACCCGATACAGATGTTGTGGACCAAGCTCTTCTGATGTGGTTTAAGGATTCAAGGAGAAAGTTGGTCCCAAAACCCCTGTTCATGGGTACATGTGGCAAAGGAAACTACCCATGAAAAAGTACAGCTGGATTAGTCCACAAATGCTTACTTTCCTTGCATTTCTGATTTAACAGGGATCGGATATAACAGGACATTTTCTACTGTATATCTGTCTGTCTAGATCTAGACCTAGGCCATAGATCTAGAACAAACCAAGGAGAGAAGAACCTAGTTCTACCCAAAGCCAAGAGGGCGCTGAAACTTTCCGAAATCACAAACGAGTTCCCCTACCGGGTCTGTATACTTCGTGACTTAGTTCCCGGTTACCGGGTCTGTATACACTCCCTTTTTCTTAAGTTAAATTGGGCGCTTTGAAGGACAAGGGGGCAAACACAAATTTCGGGGGTTTCCAGAAATCTTGATCTACACCAAAGTGGGCCTACCTATAGGAGAAGTTTGGTTTCATTGGTGTGTATATTTGTTTGGTTGTAGCGAAAACTCTCCTCGTCTTTTAAAGAAACTGAACAAGGGGCTGAACTTTTACCTTCGATTTTCTCAAAACAGCATTTTTCGGGATAGAGAATCTAGCCCCCTTGTGCATAAAAGCGAACAATTTATTCAACTCCATTTTTTTAAAATTTCTTCCCTAGATGGAAAATGTTGAGTTCTTCACAAAAGCCTGTGTGGAGTACGGCATGAACGCCTTGGATGTCTTTCAAATCACAGACCTGTACGAAGTGAAAGCCGTCTACACGGTAAGCACATCTCCTCATAATCATATTGCACACTCTCTGTGCTTGTCTTCTATGCCTAATGTCTAAGTAAGGAAAGAAGAAAGAAAAAACAATGGTTTAAAAAAGGGTACGGAAATTTTTAGCCTGAATTCTAAGCAATTTCTGTGCTTAATATGAATTTATTCGAACTGACATTTTTTTCCCTTTAATATTCGTTCTGTGGAAGTTTAGACAGAGGGCGGATGAGGTTCGACTATCGGTTAAGGCCATCTGCGGGTAAAATTTCCCCCATTTTTACCCAGTTTGACCATGCATTTGTTTTTCTCCATTTTGAAACCTACATCCATTTCCCCCGAAGTTTCAAGCGCACGTTTCAATCAATTATGTTTGAAAGTCATGTTAAAATGAGGTGTGTTTTTTTAATAATTTGCAATTTTGGGTCTTGTTTTAAAACATTTTCTTCATTTTAAAAAAATCTATTTTCCTGACTTCAAGTTACGTCTTCTTCGTTATTTTTCATCTGAATAGCTAAATTGCTTTATACAATGTGCGTCCATGTGTGACCTTTACTGAATTAGAGCCTTTTTTAAGATAATAAAAAAAATAGTTACAATCAGTGTTTTTGTTTGAAATTTCGAGGGGTTTTTTTGCTATTTGTCCATAGTACATATTTCCAGAGTCCATAATTATTTTCGTAATCGTAATATTACTTACTTTACTTTACTTTTCCGATCCAGCGGCCATTTGAGTTCTAACTTTGCGGCCTGTCGATATGGCAAAGAATTTACAGGTTTTTATCAGCCGTGTTTTGTCGTTGTACAGAGTATTTCCGACGTTTAGGGAGGCAGGTAGGTAGGTGCTACGCAGGTTGCTAAGTGCAGGGCAGGTAAAGAGGTGGTGTGATACTGTTTCATCCTGGCAGTCATACAACGGCAGTCGGATGGGGTATCCTTGTGGATCTTATTTAGGTAGGAATTCAGTGGGATGTGTTGTGTTTGCAGGCGAAAGATCGTGACTTGTTCTCTTCTACTCCGGGAATTTAGTGCATCTTTTGAGATGGGAGCAGTCATGTGTGCAAATACATTTCTTCCAGTTTTGCCAATTGCCCATCCATACAGCCACTGTTCCCTGGTGTTGCATTTGATGATGTTCTCGACTGTCTGTTGTGATACTGGGTTTTGAGTTTGTGTTTGTGATGCTCCCTTCTATCGTAATATTACAAATCTGGCGTTACTTTTTCATTACATTGATCCCTCTGGGATAATAAAGTATTATCTTATCTTATCTTTGTTTGTCCTTTCAAAAAATGAAAGCTAACGGACAAAAAACAAGAGAGAAGATAGCTTTTGAAATTTGATGAAATTATCAAATATGGCGGACGTTTGCTTGGTTACCATTGTTACCATGTGCTTACAATAATAAATAATTACTTACCCCCGGGGCAGTGCCACTGACTGTGGTGTCTTTAGGCCATTCCAAATGGGGGACATTTCTCGTTCAAGCATAGTAGAATTGTAAATAGGCTGACTCATGTCACGCTCATAGCTGTGCCTGATCTACAACAGGGAACTGCTGACTAGTATAAATATTATATCACCGTTGCTATATTTAGTCAAGGGATATGGATTTTAGAAATTTCACCAGCAGATGGTCTGATTTTTTCTCTATTACTTATGTTGTATAATTGTGTGTGTGGGGGGGGGGTTATGATGGGGGGGGGTGAAAAAGGGGGGGGGGTCGTTGGGGAATATGCAAAGGGTAACATTAAGAAAGAGTAAAGGGATATAATTAAAACTGCAGAAATGTACGTATTCTCTGTTTGTCTAAATTACTTTGCTTATTGAGTTCATCAAATTTTAAAGATATTATATATATCTACCACCCTTTTTGATGTCCGTATTTTTTCCAGGTGTTCAACTGCCTACATGCTCTGGGATCCTTGGTATGTTTTGATTTTCATAATTATGTTTAGCCTTCGTTTTCTTCGACATTTTGTCGCCCATATCCCCTTTGATGATGTTATCATCGTCATCATCATTATTTGTGTCATGACGCTTGGAATCAGGCCCTCGTCAATTTTTGGACATGTGGTATCATTTTAAAGCTTGTTCATCCGTCTTGGTCTAGGGGAAAAAATCATTGATCTATTAAGCATAGAAGTCGAGATGTTAGCAATTGAAGGAGGGGGGGGGTCGCTTGGTTTCAGGGGTTATATTGGTGAGAAAATGGCTCCAAAGTCTGGCGATTTCCAAAGTTTGAGAGTCCTTAGAAACGGCAAATTTACATTTTTATGCCTTAAATCGATATTTTTCAGTAAAATTCACTCAGAATAATTATTTTAAAACGGACCTTAAAAGTGTTGAGTGAAAAAAACAAAATTCGATAAAATTGCCAAACACAGAAGAGTGCCAGTTTTTTCGATTTAATTATTTTGACGAGCGCCTGATTTCACCTCTATGCCTCACATTTGTGTTTACTTTGTAGCCAGGACTGAACTGGTGTCTGTGTCTGTGCTGTAGCGGTTAGGCACTTCGCCACCGCATTCAGGAAACCAAAGTTCGATTCCTGGGAGGGGAGAATTTGTTTCGAGTATCTCGGTCTTTCTGCCAGGATGTTGCATCCCTCTTACTCAAGATTGGCCGTGAGAGGAAAGGTCAAAGCCTTCCTCCTAATGATCTAAATTATGTTGGTGGGGGCATAAAAACACCCACATTTAAATTATTAATCTTTTTTTTTTTCAGAACTAAATTATTGAGAAAGAAACGATTTTCTGATGGATTGATTAAATATGAACAAAATGAAAAAAGTGAGAAGAGTGAGGAGGGGGGGGGTGCGGGCCCCGGGGGGGTGCTTTTGTTGTTGATGTTGGTTTGTTTGTTTGTCTTATTTAGTTGGTTGGATTTGCTGTGAAAATGAGATTTGTTTTTAGGGTACATATCATTACAACGAGTGTTTACAAAATAATTATGAGAGACTTGAAATATCCTGTTACAAATACCATTCCAGGCTCTCAAGAATGGATTCAAAGGTCCTGTTTACGGCGTGAAGATTGCAGACAAGGCAGAGCGTCATTTTACCGAGAAGCAGCTAGCTGAAGGCAAAAGAATCATCCCCATGCAAGCAGGCTCGAACAGGAACCCATCTCAATCAGGAATGACACCGTACGGATTTTCCCGGCAAATTATTCCCTCCGATGTCGAAGCTACAAAACTGTCCAGCGAGAGCCAGAATATCGTTTCTCTGCAGTACGGAACTAATTTAACAGCAAACCAAAGCGGCATGACACCGTATGGTTTAGGGCGCCAAATCGTATCCATGTCGTCTGTGTCAGATGACGCGGCCGGAAGTGATGCTCATTCCAATTCCAATAGTGACCCGGCTGTAGATAAAGACTTGTCAACGGAAGACAGCGCGTTCAACGACGAGGAACTTTTCTAACAGTCTCTGAATATTTTTCCCACGCAGTATTGAATTGATGTTAGCTTTGAAATCAAAAGCATGTGTCGGTATTACGAATTACAGCCTTGGGGGGTGTATGAACAAGCATGACTACAAAATAAGAAACTGCGAAATAAATACTCGCGTCGTCAACCTGTTCGTACAAAACGTTGTGTCAATGCACGCTTGTTGCTCAAGTCGTGGTGGCAATCCTAAAAGTTACAGAGAAAGCTTACATGTATGCTATTACTGAAGACCATTGGGTAGTGTCTTTTCCGCCATCAGTTTTGTTGTTTTAGGTTTGGCACTGGCCGTGTATTAAAGAAGGCCCGCTTCCAATGTTATGTGTTTTTTCTGCTCTTTCACTAGAAATATAAAGTGTAAACCAAACTTTCATAATACCATAATGATTATGCCATATTCTGAGACTTGGTTTGATATTTATGGGCTATAACCTCTAATTCTGAACGTGAAGTTACCAATGCAGTGATGTTCCGACCGCAGCAGGGAGTAGTGGAGAACTTGACGATTGTGGAACAAAAATATTTGTTCTAATACTTCCATGAAAATTTCCATCAGTAAAGCTGAACATTATGAAAGCAGGAGTGACTGTTGTTTTTATCCCAAGAACAGTATTTTGTAATCCAACATGATCTCTTAGGCGTCTAAATGGACATGAATAACTGATGCATACCCATTCATACTTCCCTTGACGGAGTAGATCGGAAAGGTTCAGACATTTTGTAAAGAGTGCTAAAACATCAACTACAGAAATACAGAGAGCCTGTAGGGACTTTCAGAATGTCTGTAGATCTATCAAAATGCACATGGTGTGATTTAATTTTTTATTATTTTTTTTATGATTCTCTACTTAGCTTAACATTACGTAGTTTATGTCTATGGAAAATGTATAACTTTACGCAAATAATAAATTTTGTAAGGACATAGCTCTAGAAGATGAGTTTTTAAATCATTGCCTTCATTGGTACGGTATGTCAGTTTCTTGTGGGTTTTTTGTTGGGCTTTTTTTTTTTTTTTGGTTTTATGGAAATTAGTCAACATTGGTATGCAAGAGATTTTGTTGGTCTTTTTTAATTTTTTTTTTTTACTGTATAAAGTTTATTTTGTATTCTCTAACCGTTTCCTGTCTGCCTCTTTTTGCTTTTAGTTTCACTGAGACACACAGTATTCACCTTTGCTGTTCTTTTATTTGGTCCTTTAGGAAGGTCATTGTATGACCTGGGTTTTTTTGTTGATGTGTTGTTCCTATTTCAATTCTTTAGTGATGATATTATCATCGTCTGAATCGTGCCAGTGATTGTCTAGACGCCAGAAGTTGTAAGAAGATGTATGGACAGAGAAAGAGAGAGAGGGAGAGAGAGGGGGGGCGAGAGAGAGAGAGAGAGAGAGAGAGAGAGAGAGAGAGAGGCAACAAAGATAGGTCATGAGTTTGTTGA